GGCCCTGCACCCGCCATGAGAAGGCGGCCCTGCACCCGCCATGAGAAGGCGGCCCTGCACCCGCCATGAGAAGGCGGCCCTGCACCCGCCATGAGAAGGCGGCCCTGCACCCGCCATGAGAAGGCGGCCCTGCACCCGCCATGAGAAGGCGGCCCTGCACCCGCCATGAGAAGGCGGCCCTGCACCCGCCATGAGAAGGCGGCCCTGCACCCGCCATGAGAAGGCGGCCCTGCACCCGCCATGAGAAGGTGGCCCGGCACCCACCATGAGAAGGTGGCCCTGCACCCGCCATGAGAAGGCGGCCTTGCATACCGTAACTCCTACTCTAGTCTATATGAATGGGAACCCTGTGACCTCTATGGCAATGAATTGTATGTAAGTGAATGGGTGACGTCTTATATGTGAATGTATTTCTTGCTGTTGGCGCTCTCGTAGACTAGAGCTGGAAGGCACCTTCCTCCACATCACCAAGGAAGGTGCCAAGGCATATGTTGATTGTTGGAGAACAGGATGGGAGGTGTGAAAGTGGTGACACCACCCTTGTCTAGTAACATAATCCCATCCTTGGGGCCAGGGCCGGATATAACCATTAAGGCTGTGACACACTGCACGCGAAGCGGTGGCGAGCTGCCTTCGCGAGCAGTGTGTCATGTCATTTTCTCCCCGAGATCTCGCATAGCTGAGCGTGCTGAGATGAAAAATTTCATCTTCAGCCAATCGGCCCACGTGTCAGGATGCGACGTCTGGCCGGTTGTTACGGACGAGCCGATTGGCTGAAGTTGCAGTCAATCATCTGCCAGCACTCAGCTCACGCACTGCACGCAAAGCTCCGTGCCGGACAGCTTTGCTTCGCTCTGTACGGCTTTGCGTGCAGTGTGTCACAGGCTTTAGGCAGAGTAGGCACGTTCCTACAGGCGCTTTCCATAGAGGGGCGCCTTGCAGGTACCTACTCTGCCTAATTCCCGGTGTTGTGTCAAGATACAACACCAGGAATAGCAAGGAAGGTTCCTTCTGCACAAAATGCACGCTCCAAGACCAGCGACGCCTACAGGAACCGCCGGCTTCTGCAAACGCTGGGGAAGGACCCAGTAAAGTAAGTGAAGGTGTAGGTGAGCCTTACGTGACGCCGGGGTCCTTCTCTGCATATGTGAAAGCCGGCGGGTAAGGGCGCCTGCTCAGGCTAAACAGATTTCCATTCGTGCCTACAGGCACCCAAAATGGAAATCCGACCCTGCTTGGGGTCACCTATGCAGACTTCCTGACATAGAAGAAGATCAGCTGAATGTAACAATACCATTGTAACTATGTTTCTAGTTATACCTCCGCCTGGATGAATGGGAACCTTCACCTTCCTTGTCTCAATCAGTCAACAGACACACGTCTCCCTCCTGGACACCTTCCAGATTTGAGTGACGAGCGGCGTGCCCCAGCACCCTGGAGGGACGGCCCGCGGGTCTCTTATCCGGTTATTGCCGGGGAACTATTTCTTGGAAAGCGAGATTACCTGGTCTTATCGCCTTGTGCAAGAGACACTCCACAACGTGTGCAAACGCACAGATACACAACTACCTGCACTGACACGCAGGGATCTCCCTCACTGCACATGTGACCTCACTATTCAGACACGGGGGGAGGGGGGGTATGGCTTCCACGGAAGAATCATTCACACATTTTTATACCATTCACGGGAACAGAGAACAATGAAAACAGGAAACACCCCTTTGTATTGTATTCTTCATCTAAAGCTGAACTCCAGGAGGATATAACAAATAACGCAGCTCTGTAATCATTAGTACATCATTAGAGGTCATCTTACATACAAGCAGCGCCAGCACCGGAATGTGACCTGGTATCAGCCCCTGAGTGTGAAAAGAAGAAGCAGCACATGGGACCAAGCAGTTCATATGCTGACAAGAAGTATGCTGATAGGAGGAGAGAGCAGAGGGACAGAGAAGTGAGCTCATCACTGTGCTGCTTCTCTTTACACTGTTCAGTTAGAGGCTGGGTGAGGGGGGCGGGTCCAGGAGGACCTCAGGTGAAGTGGGTTAAATGATGCCCCCCCGGTGGACTTGTTCTATAAAAGTGTACACAGTACTGTCTCTGTTATAATCTCCTATGTTTCTAGTATTC